AGGAAGGAAGGAAGGAAGGAAGGAAGGAAGGAAGGAAGAAAGAAAGGAGAGTGAATATCCAGTAAAAGTCTTTGGGCAATTAGGACTACAAGTGCATTACCTTGCAACATTTCCTTATAGATCCCACTTGGGCATCTTTCTCCCCCTCCCTTCTCTTTCCCTTCCCTTGCTCCTATCAGATTTAACAGACTTATGGCTCTTTGAAATTATTTACATTATATAAAAAAGAAACATTTTACAAATTCCCCACCAGTGAGCTCATTAGAATAAATGATGGGCCATGAGTTCAGATTTCAAGTCAGCAGGTTTTTTTTAATCTTTTTCTCTCTCCCCCGCCCCTCCGCCCCCATTCCCCAAAGTTATCACCAGCTATTTTTCACTATAATGCAGCAGCTGAAGAATATTTGATAGCAGGAAAATTGGTCTCCAGAGCAGGGGCGCAGGAGCAAAAAAAAAGAGATTTCAGGGATGGGTATGAGATTCTTTCTTGGATATAATCCAAATTAACACACATCCATTGTCTTTTGCAAATTAGGAATGCTCCTAATGGTTATCCTTTGGCCTGAGTTGGTCTGGAACTCCCAGTCTAAATATTTAAAGTGGGAATGTGAATCACCCTTTGGATCTTGCGTTTCCCCAAATTTTGCATGTTACTTTTATTTTCTTCACACCTTCTATTGCTCATCCTATTCTCACCACACCTGCAAACATTTTCTACTTGTCTTGCCTTGCCTTCCCCTCCTTCCCTTCCTTCCTTCCTTCCCTCCTTCCTTCCTTCCTTCCTTCCTTCCTATTTTCCTTCCTGCCTCCCTTCCTTCCCTTCCTCTCTCCCCTCCTTTCCTTCCTTCCTTTCCTTCCTTCCTATTTTCCTTCCTTCCATCATCCCTCCCTTCTTTTCCTCCCTCCCTCCTTCCTTCCTTCCTTCCTGCCTCCCTTTTTCCCTTCCCTCCCTCCCTCACCTCCTTTCCTTCCTTCCTTCCATTATCCCTCCCTTCTTTTCCTCCCATCTGCCTGCCTGCCTCCATCCCCTCCTTTCCTTTCTTCCTTCCTTCCTTCCTTCCTGCCTGCCTGCCACCCTTCCTTCCCTTTTCTCCATTCCCTCCTTTCCTTCCTTCCCCTTTATTTTCCTTCATTTCATCATCCCTCCCTTCTTTTCCTCCCTCCCTCCCTCCTTCCTTCCTGCTTTCCTGCCTGCCTCCCTTCCTTGCCTTCCCTCCCTCCATCCCCTCCCTTCTTTCTTTCTTTCTTTCTTTCTTTCTTTCTTTCTTTCCTTCCTTCCTTCCTTCCTTCCTTCCTTCATCCCCTCCCATTCTTGGTGAGACATGATTCAATGGAATATTCATTTGTTTCTTTGTTTCCAGCCATGGCTACCAGAGAACTCCAACCAGGCACCAACTCCAAATCGTTAAGTTTCTGCCCGCAACGGTAGTCCACTGTAGAGATGGCAACCCTAGGAAACTGCAAGCAAGCCAAAGGGAGAGGCAAGAGCTATAAAGCCAGACCACAATTTGAAGGGTCTCTATTAGAAAATGCAGACTGTACAATTGTAGGTCTGCAAAATTGATGCCAGTAGATGTGACAGTCAATAATATCAAGGAGATGAAAGTTCTAGGCTTTGTCATCAGCATACAAATCTGTGTGTGTGTGTGTGAGAGAGAGAGAGAAAGAGGGAGGGCGGGAGAGAGAGAGGGAGGGAGAGGGAG